CCCCCCCCCATATACTCCTGTGTAGTTTCTTCATCTCCTCAACTAACCCCCCCTCCATTGAGTTATCCCAATGGTACAGGAAATAAAGTCACCAAGCAAGCTTTCAAATTAAAGTTTATTAATAATTATTAATATATACATTTGAAAACTGCAGTGGAAGCTGAACCCAGCACTGTAGTAACAGATTCATTTAATAAAATGTTAAATGTTTAAGGGACAAAAAACTGCTGCTTCAGCATCATCGTTATTAGCTTGTTAAGCTATCACACCAAAATATGACAGCGGTTCCAGATTGATTTTATTGAGGTATCTTTACAATAATAACAATTACACATAGGCAGATCATTCTCTGTTCTATAATGCTAGACACGGTCATGCTTTATGCTTATGCCATTTCTGCCCTCTGCTGTCTCCAGCAAAAGGTGCTGCAATGCAGCAGTGCAACTTCAGTGACATAAACTAAGACACAGTCGTGAAAAAGAAAGTTTTCACAGTAGTCTGTGCAGTCCAGTGAAAAACTCAGTACACCCCACAATTCAGTAGCTCGTATAACCTCCTTAAGCAGCATTAACTTGCAGTAATTGTTTTCTGTATAACTTTACATCATGCGAGAATTTTGGCCAACACAACTTTACATTGCTTCAGTTTGTTGAGTTTTGAACTGAATTTATGCATAAGGACATTTCAATCAGGTTGAGGTCTGGACTGTCACTGAGCCAAAACAACACCTTTTCTTTTTTTCAGCCATTGTCCTGTTGCATGACCCAATTTCAGCCAAGCTTAAGCTGTTGGACAGATGGTCTCACACTTGGCCTCATCTACCCAGAGAAGTCATGCAGTTCCTTCAGATACAACTTTGCAAACCTAAATCATGCTGCCATCTTCCTTTCCAATAGATGAGACTTTCTCCTGGCAACCTTTCCAAACAAGTCATACTTGTGCAGTCATTTCCTAATCATCCTGTCATGAACGTTAGCATTTAGCATGCTAAGAGACGTAGCTCTTGGCGGGGTTTTTTTTGTTTTTCAGATTTTCCAAAAACTCCACAATCTGACCTTGGGTGATTTTCCCCTGGGAAAACTGTGGAACATTATTAAAACACATCCGAATGTTCCAGACTAGCAAACTGGCAAAACATCTGTTTCACAGAGGCGCTCACACTCGCTGATGATCTGTTAATCAAGTGCATTTGATTAGCAGCACCTGGCTACTATGTGCCCTCGTAAATCCTATGGGAACAGTAAGAGTGGACTGCACAGAGTCCTGTCAAAACTTCCTTTTTCCTATGAGTACAACTAAAGTGTGTTTTTTTTGCCTTCAAAGGTTTTTGTGACATCTGTGAACTGCGCATGTCACATTTTAACCAATCAATAAGTCAACAAACAGACAAAAGAATCAAGGCCTTCGTTCAGCCTTGTTTTCATCTCTGCTCTCATGCTGAGGTGGCCATCAAGGTCTGATACTGTATGTACATGCATGTTGGCACAATGTAAAATATTATCTGTGCCTGGGAAAAGGAAACACACCAGCCTGTCATAATAAAAGTGGATTTTGCAGGACACTATTACACGTTATGAGTGCTTACAGAGCTTAAAAGAGCAGCTTTGCAGCTTATGCTGTGCTTATATACAGTAAATACACATTCAGACATTGGAAGAATAGTGCAACGATTCAGCTGATGGACGTCCATGTCAGTCTGCTTCTTTGGTTTTGTATCTGAGTGAGTATTAGTACCATCAGGGACTGTGAGGGGGAGAAATTTTGACAACAATTAATAATGAAGTCCATAAACTTGTGGATAGATGCAAAAGAATGAATGAGAAAAGAAACATGAATCATCTTAGAGTTGATAAGTTGGTCATCACTGGCTTGTCACGTTTTTGTGTCCCCCTTTCAACAAGACTGAATTAATCAATTTTCAATATGATTAATTTATCTCTATCAACAGGATACGTATCAGAGGCTTTTAAGGCAGCTGTAATTGAGCCATTATTCAAAAAGCCTTTACTTGGCCCATCTGTCTTAGCTAATTATAAACTGGGAGGCCATCTTCAGACAGAGGTTACTCAAAGTATTAGGATTAAGCAAACATGAACGCTAATTCATAAACCTGGGACTGCAGGGAAACAGGGTGCATGTTTTTCTTGCCTGTTATTGCCTCCTCCTCCCTTAATGCCGGTAGGGTGGTTGTTCTGGATGAGGTTGGACCTGTTGACACTGAAGTTTATGGGAGCCCCTGGCAGCTGACCAGGTCTGATAGGCTTGGCTGGATTGGACACAGCGAAACAATAACAATCATTTACAGAGGGAAGGTTAATGGCCCACTGATATTTTTAAAAAACCCAAACACTAATTTCTTTCTGTTTGAGAATCAGATGAGAACATTAATAAAATACTGACGTATATGCATCATTTTAGTGCTAAAGCTAGGCGGCTGTTAGCCTAGCTTTATCACTTTAGCGCTAAAGCTAGGCGGCTGTTAGCCTAGGTTAGCATAAAAATAAAAAACACCGATGAATGATTAGCCTGATCCTGTCCAAAACAACAAAAAAAACTACAAAACGTACAAAACCTACTATAATAATCATAGTGTTATACATATGTTCCCTGGTCCCAAACTCCGCCTAGATTTGTTAGTCAATCTGGATGAAATTTATTATATAATCTGCCCAGGGTACCAGGATTATCAACATCTATATAGCTTTTGAGAATTATTTTTATAATGTGTCATACCTGATCTCAAAACAAACAGCAAGATTACGTCAAGCTTAGCTAACTGCTACCTTTTAGTCTGGGAAAAGACGTCGCTTTTTAAAACAGTGGTGCCACCTACCTATCTGTGCTGACCCTCTCCTGCCCATGTTTTTAGGCTTGGCGGCATCCTTAATGCGCTCCACCTCCTGTTGGTAGCGTTTACGGTCATGGGCTGCATTCTCTTTGGCTTCCTTTAGGGCGGTCTCCAGGGCTTTGACCCGTTCAGCGGTGGCCCGCAGGCGCTTCTCCATCTTTGGGATTTCGCTGCGTAGGTCATTGTTGTCCCGTACCAGCTGTGGAATTTAAAACAGAAGAGAAAAAATAGAGCTTTTAACCTTGAGATGCCAGTTTGAGTGGGAGACACTCGTCTCACTTTGTTTGCATCTATTTCTACCTGCTTGTGAACTCTGGTTAGCTGCTCCAGGTTGTTCTCCAGGAAGCTGATCTTTTGCTTCTGGGCAGCGCTGCTCTCTGTGTCCTCTGAGTCCATCTGAGCATTCTGTCCAAGCACAGCAAACAACTTTGTTATCTATGTAATTTATTTTGTTGCTTTCAGTTTTTCAAATCAGTGTCAAAGTGAAAAATAATTCTGTAACCAAAGAGCCCTGATCCAGATAATCCCATCTGTGCCTAAATGTGGTGATAAGTAGCAGTTTTTGGATGAGTACAGCAGCATAATATATTCTCTGTGTGCTCCAGGAAAGCCTGCTCTGCCTTTGTCTCATCAAGCTTCCGCTGGAAGGCAGGAGATGAGCAGCACTGAGGGCCCAGGTCCCTAAATTACAGCTGCTACCTTTGAAGAATCAGATGGCCTACTTATTGCAGACACTTTCTGTTGTGTTCCCTGGATTCATTAAAATTTCATTAAGGATGCAGATTTAATGGGAGTGTTGCCGGTGCATGAGCGAAATATGGAGCTGTTTGACTCACTCCAGGTAAACATCGTGGTCGAGGCAAGAAGAGCTCATGTGATATTGTGTAAGACAGGAGTCTTAACAGATGACAAATCAGATCACAAGATGGCAATTACTGTGATGATCCACCATGGCAACATTCAGGGAATGGGAGGTTACATATCTGCTCCGAAAGCTGAAATGTGTTCCATCACAGAAACACTTTGAGGACTTGTACCTTTTTTAATCTTGTGGATAAGTCTTGGACAAAGAGCCTTCTCAGGTTGTGAAGTGTCTGCAGCTCCCGTGCCTAACACAAGACAAGAAAGACAGGTTTGCAAAGAATAACGGTGACAAGAAATCGCCCTCCAAACTCATGTCACAATGTATCATTTGCTGCTGGCAACAAATCTGGGTTATATCTGGGCTAGTGAGCCATAAAAATAATAGTGAGGTTGTACTGAGATGTCACATCATGTCAGTTCATACCTAATTATTGCACCCCAAAATTACATCTTTGAGCACCACTACTCTTTGTGCAAAAATACATGCATGTGGCAAGAGGTCACATGATTAAAGCTGATTAAAGGAAACTAATTACACCAATTTCACTAGAAAGGCTTTCCATAATCCATCAAATCCATCCATCTATCCATTCATCCACCCACCCATAGACATCCATTCATACTCACAGTCACACCAGAAGTGACCATATTTGCTAATGCTAGCTGAATGTTAAAAATGTTACTGTTTTTCCTCTTACCTCTGTTGTATTGGTGGAGATCGAAATCTCCATAGCAAATGACCTGGTAAATGGCCTGTATTTGTATAGCGCTTTACTAGTCCCTAAGGACCCCAAAGCGCTTTACACATTCAGTCATCCACCCATACACACACTGGTGATGGCAGCTCCATTGTAGCCACAGCCACCCTGGGGGCGCACTGACAGAGGGGAGGCTGCCGGACGCTGGCGCCACCGGGCCCTCTGACCACCACCAGTAGGTAACGGGTGAAGTGTCTTGCCCAAGGACACAACCACCAAGCCGGGGCTCGAACCGGCAACCTTCCTACAAGGTGAACTCCGAACTCTTGAGCCACAATCGCCCAGCAACATACTACTGCTAACAGCTACTTACATAAGAGGTTTGTTGTGTAGTGGGTGAACTCATTTTCTAAGCAAATACAGATTTCAAAACTTGTGGCAATAACTGACCACAGTTTCCTCCAGTCCCTTCAGGTCCTGTCTGGCCTGCTCCCTCCTGTCCTGCTGCACCCTGCAGCACATGAAACAAGCGTTAATAAGACTGGAAAACAGTTCTGCTAAACAAGTTTGCATTTTCCTGTTAAATAAACGCGAGAGATGTTACGTGAGCTCTTCCAGCTGGCGGCTCTTTTCCTGGTCAGCAGCCTTGAGCTTCTCATGCTCCACTCTGAGCCTCTCCTGCTCCAGCATGATCTGCTGGTTCAGACTGCACAGAGGTCAGGGATAAAATCAGCCGAGTCATGTAAGTTTCACTCAAAGAGACAAGCGTTAGGTGATGTGGTGTCTTACTCCTGCAGCTCAGTGATAAGCTTCTCCTTGGCGTCAAGCTCATCTCTCAGGCTGCTGATCTGCCTTTGATGGGCCTCTCTGTGAGTCTGGATCTGCTTCTCCACAGCTTCCTGAAGACACGGAAAAAAACAGCTAGTCACTGCATGAGATGAGGTGGGCAATCACACTTTGTACGTGTTACAGTACCTTGACTTCATTTGCAGACTGGATCTCGTTCTCTTTCTCCATGGCATTAACCTTCTCTGGAAGGAGAAGAAATGATCCATGTTATTAGGAACAACTGGGATATAACAATGGATCTTCTTTAGTTTCTTATGGCACAAACAAGTACAAACAGTATTTTTCTTAAGCTTGCCACGTCATGTAAACCCTTTTCATAGTTTACTGGAAACAAGATTTAAAGCAGAAACAGGTATTACTTGACATGACTTTCAGGGAAATCCATAAACACAGATACTTCTTTGAACGTTCAATGCTAATAATCAATACTTATGACTTATTCAAGTTTAGTTTTACAAATTCAGGTTTAAAACAATAAAAATGTCATGGTCCCTGGATGTTGGACCCAGGATTTTAAGTTTCTTTATGGTTTTAAGGATACCTTTAAGTTTGCCCTTTATTATATTCTCAGTTTGTAGGATTCTAGTTCACCTTCTTGCTTATTAAATCTATATCTTTTGTGATCCCTTTGTTCCCCCAGTGACGTTCCCGTGTCTGTCTAGTCTTTCTGTGTTCTGTCTCTGTGTTTAATCTTCTATCCCTGTGTTAGTTTGGCATGTCATAGTCTGGGTCTCAGTGTGTATGCTTGTTCCTGTTTTATTGTGATAGTCTTGTCAAGTTTAACTTCCCTTGTCTTGTTATTCCTGATTTGTTCCCACTTTGTTTCCCATCTGTTTCCTCTCCCTTCATTACCTGCTGTGTATCAATTGTCTGAGTTTCCCCTTGGTCTTTGTCACATTGTCCCTCTTGCCGTGGGCCCCTGTGAGTTCCATGTTTCCAAAGAGATTTTCCTAGTTAATAACTTCTATTATTATTCTGCACCTTGGTTCCTATGAAGCCACCAGAAAAACTACTGTTAAGGTTGAGTTCTGTTCTCTGTGTCCTGTATTTGGGACCTGCCTGCTGCACCGCGATGCACAACAAAAAATGTAACCAAATATTTTTCACATGTGAGTTGTCACAAGGAATTAAGACAGCTGTGAAGACAAAAGGGGTCAAGGTGCACCTAATGAAGTGGCCGGTACATATAATAAAACATTTTTAAAGAAATGTGGATTTTACCCTATCTGACTGGTCAATAGCCCTAAAACACCAGAGAAGATTAAATCCTTTTATTCAGGGTTGTTTCCAAGACTTTATTTTTTAAAATCAGTGTGTGAGACTTTGTTTTAGGGTCACTATTGCACCACTGTACCCACTTGCTTTAGCTTTTATGTCCTAAAACATTTGAGTCACTATACAGCAGGGGTGGGCAATCTCAGTCTACGAGGGCCGGTGTCCCTGCAGGTTTTAGATCTCACCTTGGGTCAACACACCTGAATCACATGATTAGTTCGTTACCAGGCCTCTGGAGAACTTCAGGACATGTCGAGGAGCTAATTTAGCCATTTAAATCAGCTGTGTTGGTTCGAGGACACATCTAAAACCTGCAGGGACTCCGGCCCTTGTGGACTGAGATTGCCCACCCCTGCTATACAGACAACTATTAGTTAGTTTAAGGACCTCTTACAGCAGTTTCACTGCCATCTCCACAAAACACCTTTAGTCAAACAGGGCTCCTTGTACAAAAACAGAATGGAGAGCAGCGAGTGTGTTGCTCACCCTGGGCCCTGGTCCTGACTATTTCCTCACTGAGAGAGTCCACATTCTCTTCCAGCTGTCTTTTCTTCTGCTCCACATTCTGGAGGGACTCCGTCAGGGACTTGATTTTGGCTTCTTGCTAAACAACGACCGGCCAACGAAAGACATGAAAAGGACTCATACAAATTAAATGACAGTTCTTTTAGGCCAGACCCAATTGTTAGGCCCCATTGTTATTGATATAGAACCACATAATCTGACATCTTAACTATATGTCACTATGGCGACAGCATCTGAGATGGCAGCAGTTGTTAAGCAGCTGTTACCTGGGAGATGCGGAGCTGACAGGCAGTCAGCTCGCTCTCAGTCTCGTCCAGCTTCTGGGTGGTCTCGGTCTGTGTGCTCTCCAGCAGCTTGCTGCGCTTCACCATGGTCTTCACCTCTGACTTCATCTTGCTGATGTAGAGACGGGCCACAGTGAACTCTTCGTCAATGAGACCACTGCTCTCCTGTTGCTGAGGACGTGAGAGAACATTACGTAGGTCAAAGACATTCCTCAGACTCAGTCCCACTCAGACCATCCATGGAGTTTAAAATAGATTAGGAGTTTATCAAAATTTCTTGAAGAGCATGCAGTTGGAGATACACTGGTAACCAGGGGAAACAAACCAAGATGCTCACAATTCCTATTAAAACTAGACAACAAACTGATTGACTGTCGTCTGATCATAAAATATGCAGAACATTAGTCTGCTGAAGCGTTTTCTGTGAGCATCTTTGTGCTTTTACCAGTTTTACATTTGAATCAATCAATTTCACACTGTTGGTTCAACCAAATCTATTTTACCAATTTTTTAAGGACTATTGAAAGTCATTATCTGCAGAAATTCAACACTCATAGTTTAGTTTCTGTTTCTTATTTTTCAAGATTGGGTGCTTTTCTTTTTTTGTGATAATAAAGGTTGATTTGAAGTTCTACTTTGGCTGGAACTTGATCAAGGTTCATGTTCTACATTTTCTGACTGAATCCACTAAATAAATTGAATGAGAGATACATCCACAGTGGAATTAAGTGCTTGCAACCAGCCTATGCAAAACTATCCTCATTTTCAGCAAGGATCACCTGAATACCTGATGATGTTGATAGTTCTTAGACCACAGTGCTTTAGCTTGTGGTCTAAAGCACTGTTATTTCATAGTTTTAACCCAAATGTCACTTTTCTGAATATGAAACAGTGTATCAGAGCCAAACTGGGAACCTTGATGTCATTGCTTCCCACAGCGATGCCTATCTCAGCCAGGTCTTTGAGTAATGATGACATCATCTCAGTGACCCTCTTTTTCTGGTGGTTGGTCATCTCCTTCAATTTCTGAAGCTCTGAGTCAATGGAGGCCAAGGAGCTCTAGTGGTGGACGATAACACACATCACAAAGCATTTAGGATTAGGATTAGTGTTTTTACTTCCAGCAAATTCCCCCAAAGCTTCAAGCTGCTCACCGATTTCTCGTTCAGCTCCTCACTGAGAGCCTCAAACTCTTTGGTTTTGTTTTCAACTTCCTGACTCTTCTGGTCGTAGTTGACAGCCAGCTCCTCCAGGGCCTGCAGCACTTCCTTCACTTCCTCCTTGGAGGCTTCATTCTCCGCCAGCAGCCGGTTCAGCTCCGTCTGCAACGTGTGGTGGTCACGGCGAGAGGATGCTAATAGCTAGGAGAGGTAAATGATGCTCAGTGATGCTCTCCTATGGTCAGGTTTGAAAGTATGTTAAAAAAATGTATCGACAGCAGGGACTACAAAACAGATTTGTGAACAGTGAAGAAAAATGTGCTCAATCTGGTGAGGCTCCTGTGCTTGCTAAGGGTGAGTTACAGTTTGACCTCTCCTGCAGGGCTACTAATGGTCTGCAATCAGCTGTCACACCAGGTTTATGCTAACAGGAGTGCCTAGGGGGATTTGGAACAGCGGGAAGGCACAGGGGAAGGAAGGAAGGAAAGAAAGGAAGGCAAGGCGGATGCAGTGTCACCTCCTCCTGATCCAACATCTGCTGCTTCAGTGTCTCCACCAACTGAGACTGCTGGTTGATCTCATCGTCCTGCAGGAAAGGCAGAGGAAAAGAGAAATCCAGTAATGTTTCATTCACATAATTCTCCTGCCAAAGAGCAATACTGAACAGCAACCAGTTGCACCACCTGCTGGTCAAAAGAAATAAGTTCACCACAATTAATTAGAAGACGAATGTTGGTTTTCACATAAATATATTCTCTTTATTCCAATATCAAGAATGAATTTGCATTATTAAAACAAAAGAGAAAGATGAAGTGAAGATATTGTGAAATTTCATGTGACAGGAATTGTGAAACCTTTCATAGTTTTCATCCTGCTCTCACAAAGTCAAAGTACCGAAATAGATTCAGTGTTCTAGTTTTTACTGTCATCCTGCTGGAGATTAATAGCATGTCTTGCCTGAGGTAATGTCTATTTAAATATGTTAAAAAATCTGTCAGTTGCTACTGCATTGCACTTTATCTGCATGTTCTAATATATATATCAAGCAAAACAGGCAGTACTGAGATTACAGTACTGCCTGTTTTTATATTTATATATATATATATATACACATATATATATACATATATATA